CATCATCACGGCGGTTTGTTATTGTAATATGCAAAAGCATGAAAGAGGGTTCTCCTTGATACGTTAAAATCTTAATAAACTTAATCGATCAACAAGTATTTTATAAAAATTGTCGCATGTAACGTGTAACTGGTTGCTCCTTAAAATAATGGGACCCTATTTAATTTTTCAAGTTTAAAAATAAAGCAGAAACGGGCATAAGAAAACAGTTTTAAAGATCCATTAATAGCGTTTTTCTCCTCCAGCCCGGATTAAAAAAAACATTGCTCCAACGGAAGTAGGTTACCTGTTTTTCTTAATTGTTTTAGTACTGCTGTACTGTACAACTTCACACAATCGCACATTTTTTGTGCAGAATACGAGCAAAATTATAAATCATCCTGTAAGATTTTGTGAAAACAAAACTGGTTCAAAGTCATTATAGAAATTACGAACAGGGTAAAACGTTTCACCTATTTGAAACTTCCCTTGTCCCCTTGTCCTCTCAAATGTCCTAATCTTTTCACTGAATTTATTTATTTATTTATTTATTTATTTAATGAAAGAAACATACAGCTTTTATATTACATATAGGTACAGGAAAAAGTTTAGTTTATTCATAAGCCAAAAAAGTTTCCAATGTTAATTTGTCAATAGCGAAGACATATTATAAAAAGTTTCGTAGTAATTTAACTAGGTAATTTCGTTCGTAGTAAATTTCGTAGTAAATTTCGAATTATCTGAATAAATAGTTTTGAGCGACCCGGTGCGCCACCACTAGTTCAATAGTCCAGCTTTATTATTATTACGGACCCAATTTAGTTTTAGAGTAAGTAATTGAAAGCCTTTTACCTATTTTTAGCCCAACCTTGGCTTGTTTATTTTGCCAGCCATTGAATATAACCGAAATTGCAAGAACCACCAGTGAAATCAAATAAAATAACTCAAAGAATTGTCACTTATAAAACATGACTATCATAATGAGACTTTCTAAGTTTTGTCAGTAGTTCTCCGACTTTCAGTTGTTGTAAGTTAATATGGCCTTTACGGCTCGTAGCTACCTTTCCGCCCAGTAACACTCGTGTGCACTCACAACTTTTGTATCGCTGCTTAGTGACTATACCTATATACTTACGACTCCATTAACTCTCGTAGCATTAACTTAAATAGCTATATTGAAGAAGAGATGTTAACGCCGTCTGACTTTAGCAGAAACTGACGATTCGTAACTCTTGGCTCCTTAGATCCATTTTTTCTCTGGAAACGCTTGACCTAGAATGAATGATTGCTGTCTGACCTCTATAACCTCCATACAGCGGAATTACTTCATAAAACGCCTTCATACCCGACTTCTCAATTCTCTGAACTGACCTACTTGCACCCGTATTTCCAAAGATCGTCTGAACACGTACCTACCCTAATAAATAAGGAAAAGTATACTCCCAACAGTCAGGCAATGAAATTGTCATTTCGTAGAAGGAAAGTAAACAAATAGCAACTCGATGGTAAGTGATTAGTGACCGCCCTTTCGTCCCCCTATTTTCTTTTAAGGTTGATTGTAAAATTTTCTAGGAAAACAATCAAAACGGCTACGCTGAAAATGAAAGTTAAATTCAAAATGTCTTTCTTTAACTATACAGTAACTTGTGTGGAGAACCGCCGTTATCTAAGAAATGGGCAAGTCGGTGGCGTCGCGAACTCTGACATTGCCCCCTTTTATTGAACTCACTCGCGCTCCCTTATCACGAATTAGCCCTCGTCGCATTCGGTTCACGGTTAAAGTAGGCCGTTTCGTGCGCTCTAATTTAAACCGAGCGCTCTCTCGCTTAATGGCAGGACACTAATTAAGGTAATTAGAAACATGTTAGCGCAAGTTAAATAGTCAGCCTCATCACGTCCTCGCTTTATGATCGTTCAAGTTTGCACAAACAAATTACTACAACTTATTTAGCAACTTGTTCGATATTGATAGGCGGAGTAGCTCTGCTATACGGGCAGCTCAAAGTTCCCAACGAGTGCCCGTTAGGCGAAGGCGCACCGGCGAATAGGTAAATGCTATTTGCAAGTTTCCACTCGCCTAGCTATGTAGCGCTCTTGCGCTGCCAAATTGAAACCCACCTTAACTGGAGCAAAATGAATGGTCGCCAATAGCCACAGCATATTTCATACAGCATATCGCCGCATTCTGCTGACCTGTTCCGCACTCAAAGACCTGTAGAATCTGTTGGTTTTGGTAAACGGATTGAAAATTGGAAAGTATCCTAAAAGGGAAATGTTTGGACAGTTCAATTTTCAATATTGCCAATCAACTTCGACCGCGCTTGTTCTCTGTTTGAAAAGGGGAGGCCGCGGATGCTATTTAAATTGTACAGTTTTATGACAAGGGTCGACCATCATTGCTTTGATTACTATTTGGTTAAGGTTATTTGCTTTGAATTTCAACGGCGCTTCCTTTACGATTTTTAAGCCAAATGAAAGGTTCAAAGTCATCCCCGAAGCATATTTTAATGGAATAAATGTACGAGGTAAGGCTCAAAAGATTCACAGCCTGACAAAGAAAAACGACACTTAATGTTATGAATACAAGACACTTTTCAGATCGTTTGATTAGCTTTTCCGTACAGCTGTAAAAGCTGATAGGAGCTTTGTCTTGAAAACGGGCGGAAACCGCAACGGTCACTCACTACATCTTTAGCAAAATGTTATAATTTATTTAAGTCGGTCGTTACTTTTGATAACAACCACGTTTTTAAAGCATTCAAGCTTTTTGCTGCCTTTCGAGAGACTAGTAATAGTAGTCGGGATAGCTGTAATAGATGCTATTTTACAAAAAAAATGATATGCCGTTAAAAAAATATACGCATATTCAGTATAGGAAACGACGATAGTAAAACCGAAATACACGTACTTATTTCGTATTCATTTTCCCAACGTTATCAAATTAATAAAGAGAAATCATTTGCGAGCATATAACATTTGAATATTTACTATCGTTGTAAGTATTCACATCATGTTTATTCACTGAGATAAGAGGGTTTGATATGGAACGCATAATATCTTCGCGTGTTGACTGTCCTATTTTCTATTTATAAGTAAAATATGCGGAAGCAGACATTGCTATAATAAATACCTGCCGAGTAGCGCCGTCATCTCGGGTATCTATTAAATCTCATACTTCTGTATACATTGTATAATGATGTTTATTGAATATTATTAAATTAATAACGCCGGCGGATATTCGAGTAGGTACATAGCTAATGAAGTGCCTGCTTACCGACGCAATTCTTGAAATATTATCCCCCTAATAAATTGGTGTTGCTTTACGCCAAAATTAAGACGCCTATCCATCAAGGCAGTAGTTAACAATTTATCTGTATAGCGTTTAATTAATTGATTAAAATGTAGAGCTCATTTCAAATTCTGTTTAAATAGGTCGTTTCAACATAGCACAAAAGTTGGGATAGTTTTGTTCAAAAACATGATTAATCAACCCAATTGTGTACCTTAGTTAAGCCATCTAAATGGGCACAATGTTATACTATACAGTGTGAGTCACGTTAAAGTGTACATATGAAAATAAATGAAACTAGACCTATTTTTATCGACAAAAAAGAGGTCAAAAAATTTTTGAGATTTTTTTTTAATTTTTTATAGAATTTTTTTTCTTCCAATTACTTATTGTAAAGAAAACGTAATAACTTTTAAAGTATGCGGTATATCCTGATAAAATAAAAACAGTAATAATGATAAATAACAGGCAATAGTAAAAAAATACATAAAATACACAAAAAATGCCAAAAAATAATAAAAAATGATACTTTTTGAAAAAAATCTGCTTAAAAATTCGTGTTTTTTTGGTTATTTGATAAATTTCTCCAAAAAATGCCCCTATAACAGGTGGTTTTTATTGTTTTGTATTATTCTCTATCGTATTACCTTTGTAAAACCAAAAATTGCATGTCTCTATCCCTATCACAACATTTGCTATGATAGTTTGAACAAAGGCCTACCACAACATTATTCTCCTCTACAGGTAGGGACAATTTTAATTTTAACTAAAATGCTTATTTTACTTCGAAATCTTTTGTTTTTACTTGAAATCTAACTTGTCTTTATCAAAATTACAAATCTAGAGCCATTTTCAGTTTCGTGGTTAACGATGCGTTGAATGGCGTGCCCGGACAGGCTTAGTTCAAACGATCATAGCAAATGTTGTGATAGGGATAGAGACATGCAATTTTTGGTTTTACAAAGGTAATACGATAGAGAATAATACAAAACAATAAAAACCACCTGTTATAGGGGCATTTTTTGGAGAAATTTATCAAATAACCAAAAAAACACGAATTTTTAAGCAGATTTTTTTCAAAAAGTATCATTTTTTATTATTTGTTGGCATTTTCTGAGTATTTTATGTATTTTTTTAGTATTGTCTGTTATTTAGCATTATTAGTGTTTTTATTTTATCAGGATATACCTCTTAGTTTAAAAGTTATTACGTTTTCTTTACAATAAGTACTTGAAAGAAAAAAAATTCTATAAAAAATTTAAAAAAAATCTCAAAAAATTTTTGACCTCTTTTTTGTCGATAAAAATAGGTCTAGTTTCATCTTTTTTCATATGTACACTTTAACGTGACTCACACTGTAGAATGTTACTTCAAGTACTGTAAATTAGCGTTACATATATTTTGATATCATTGGATCGTCGAAGCGCCTATTAGTCAAGATACGAGAATGAGGACGTCCAACATAATGTGACGTAAAGGTTTATAGTTAGATATTTAATACGCTATAAATCATGTCTCGCGCATATTTTAGCGACAGCTCATTAATTAGAAATTCTGTACATCGATTCGTTACAGCTCTATCTAAGATGTTATTTTCATGCAATAATATCTATGTATTTCCTGGTTTATCTAACATCGAGATTTATTGTAGAGCGTATACTTTTTCATACATTTTAATATTAATTTGTGAATTAACTGCAATTTGATCATTTATTGATTTTTTTGTACACAGGTATAAGGTAGAGGTCGCAGGGAAGAGTCTGCCCGTGCTCACCACCCTAGACAAGGGCCGCTACGGCGTGATCATGTTCGAATCGCTCTCCAAGTACGCCAACATGGACAAGTGGAATCGAGAACTGCTAGACAAGTACTGCCGCGAATACTCCGTCGGAGTCGTCGCCTTCGCCACGCCCGGCGAGGAAACCCTGGTCGGCGCACAGCTCAAAGGATTCCCACTCTTCATGCACACCAATCTCCGACTGAAGGCAAGTCCCCAAACTTTGCACCTAAACGATACCCGAATTTCATTTCTATTTCAATTTAATATTAACTTTCCAACGACTTTGAATAACCTCGTAATGTTAATAATGAACTTGGTAATTATTGCTAACGGTTTCAGTTGAGAAAGCTTAATGTTGCGGAATATTTACTAGTCTCCGAAGTGGTCATTATCAGCGCTCCGCTTGCTCTCGATTTTCCCAGAATTCATTTTATCGGTATTATTAAAGTGAACTCTACGTGTTCAATAATAAAAACATGTTTTTGTTCCATTTAATCAGTATTACTTAATCGATATTAAAATATGTATTTTATAAATTGTGCTGTAAATATTTGCTTTAAAGTTAATGCTATCGAACTTGCAGACTTTATAATCCAACTCAATCAAGCTGTATAAATAGTTTGACTATTAATAACTTTCAAATAGGGTTATTTATACAACTGTAAATACAGCCGAACGAGTCGCAAAGTAATCAGTAATTTGAATAAAGCTTTCACAAATTAATGTATTCAACTGTGTTAAGGTACCGCCATACAAGCACAGCTTAGTGCCTCACGTTTGAAAAATCTACTCAGTGAAATACATGGTATAGTGCACCACGTAACATGTCTCCGCGATAGGATTAACACCTGGTATTTGATGATGGCTATTTTTTATGCCGTTTGACTCTCGTTCTTTAATCTAAAACAAAAGACATTTACAGGTGGACAAAGACCTCCCCTAAGTATTTCCCCAACGACCAGTTCTACGTTGTCAGCGTCCAGGCGCTTTCCGTGACCTTCACACAAAAACGAGAGATTTTTTCGTCAGGAAATGCATGAAAAGTGCATACCCACTGAGGAGGAAACCAGTGGGTCATGTCACGTCATGTGAGGCTTTCCCTGCCAGATGGGCAGGGCCTACTCACTAGATCCTGACGGTGTCCTCCTAGTCTTGGGGATAGAACTGCGAGTTATTAAACAACCTGCGCTGACCTCATCCTGGCGCTTCCCGCCTTCACCAGACTTTATTTTGTGTTGGGTTCCAACACTAAAACTCATTCATTCCTTCATTCGTTCGATCTTGTGACGTATGTATTTTAGCGCCTTTCGCGCCCAGTAGCGTTTCGTACTCCGGCCATTACACTTGTGATTGTGTGTATTAAACTGTGCAGACCTGGCAATAAACTTAATTAGTGAAACCACGGCCTTTCAATCAACACCTACAACAACTCCGCTGCCCTACATTTTGACTTTGCTTTTGTTCAGGACGCGACCCTAAACCCGGCGTCGCCGGTGCTCCGGCTAGCCCGAGCCGGCGAGACGGCGTGGGGAGCGTTACCCGGCGACCATTGGACCGTGTTCAGGGCCAATAGCTCCACGTACGAGCCTGTGGCATGGGCGCTAAGGCAGAACGAGTACGGCACTAACGGTAAGTCAGCAGTCAGNCCACTTCCACAGGACAAAGACTTAAAACCTCATTTGGGAGAAATTGAGATTCATTCAGAACTCTGGGGAAAATACTCGATAGAAAGAATGGTCGATGGGCCACTCGCTATCCATTGTCAGTTTAGGAATGACAGATGACAAGAAGTAAAACGTCAGTAGCGTCACGCGCACGCGCGAAAAATAACTAAAGAATTTTAAATGCTTGATGAGATTTAGTGGTTTTATGACATTCGATCTCCCACCTTTTAATTACTAGCAATCACTTGTACTTACTTTAGTAATACGATAATCGTTTATTCTCAAGTTGATAAAAGTTTCCAGAAATATGGTGAAAGGAATTTCAGAACGCCAAAATAATTCACATCTAAATCATACGCAACATTACACTTAGACCCGAATGTTAGTTGCTATCGGCCTAGAGCAGCCGGCGGTGACTATTCGACTGTTGTCAAGGCCAATACACAAACGCTTGGCCCTTTACAACTAAACAAATATGAACTCAACTGAGTTCATGGATTTCCAAAGTAAATCTCAAGTCTACAAACATAAATGAGTCAGCGCTAAACCAGTTTCGTGTGTAGGTAATGTTATCCACTGTGACTGTAAAGGATTTCTAGATCACAGAATCGGTTATGAAACTGTGATATTCAATTTGACTTTTATGGTCATCATATAACAATTATGTGAGCAGATGTTCATACCTGCATCTATGAATACGTTAGTTTAATAGCCATTACTTGTGAACATCTCCGAATCTGAATCAATAAAAACGATTTTATAGTTAAATGCAGCCGTGTATCCTGTGCCTGAAAGCTCTAAAACGAGTGTGAGCTCAGCTTTATACCTTTTTGAAGGAAATTGAATAGCGCCAGACGTGCTCCCGTCGCACATAATAAATATCACAGAATAGCTGCATAGAATCAAATATCGTATTCCTAATACACTTCAAGGAATATTATAAACAAGCTAGTGCCTGTGCTGTGGTTTCACTCGCGTTGATTTGGTCTGTCATAGACTAACACATTATTCAGAGCAGTCTTTTTTGACAACTTTAAAAATTATGGGTTTCCCATACTATCTTTTATTCTTCAAGGTTATTTGAGACCCTGTCTTCTTTCTCCATGGGCAAATTTATCCCTAATTTTTTTTCTGTATCAATAAATAATAATGTAAAGAACAATGCAATGGTGTGAAATAAAAGTCTCGTTCTCTTATTACCTACTTTCGGTTTCGTATTTTATATTCGTAGATTAATATTTAAGGCACTGCAAGTAAGCATTATGCAAGACACTAAAACACTCAAAGCGCACTTGGCGTTGCCGCTAATGTTAGCTTGCATAACTTCCAGGCTTACAAAGGAATACAAAGTGCACAGGAGAGCTTTAAATCCTTAGCTTAAATTATAATAGATTTACCTTCATACAATCTAAGAAAGACATTATTGTTGGATCAAAATGCAGATGTTATTCACTTTAGGTTAACGGAACTAAATTAGACCTACATAATTTAAGAAAAGCAGTGGCAATTCGCTTTTAACTATGTGAAACTCTAGCATATAATTTTACGGTAAAGCCGTTATGCCAGGAAATCCTAATCCCAGTCAATTAGTGTCTACATTTAGGACTGACTACACACATTTGAGCACACGTCCCTGAAAATCTCGGAAATTGCAGATGTGTAGTCATGTTGTCCGGCCCTTAACGAGATATTTTTCCCAATCTTATCCAATTAGTCTACGACAACACTCGAATACGTATGAGAATTTGGGCTATTGGAGTGGAGTGACATCACCCTACATAGACTATGTCGTCCGGTATCGCACGACTTCGCTTGACATGCCTAGCGACAAGACGTATTGCGGGACATTCATGTCCTACTCGAGTCTTTAGGGTTTTGCCAAACAGAACACGTTCCTAGATTCTAGTAGCGTTAAAGCACTAAAATTCTGCGTTCTATCGCCGCGTTATAGCGCTGAGTTGTCCGCGTTATTTAGTTATTTTATTTATTTAAAATCTTTATTGCACACATAAAAAACAGTGGTACAACAAGCGAGCTTAATGCCATGTGGCATTCTCTTCCAGCTAACCAGAAAATTAGACAAAACAGAGTTGTCCGCGTTATAGTGCTGAGTTGTATTGTACCGTGATCACGTTATCTTCTGGCGCTAAACACACCTCTGCGCTATTACGTAGCGATAGAACAGAGCGCTTGCAGTACGCGGTCTTTTGACAGTTTGCTTCCGTCACCGTACAGCACAAGGCAGCGCTTTGCCCCTAAGAAAGAAATATGATAATACAATGAACAGAAAAGGCACTAAAAGACATTCTGCTTAGCAAAGCCTCTAGTGTTGTTTTTTCTCCCGTACAGAAGAACGAGTCCCCCTAGCGACTGTGATCCAAGACCACGGGCGCTGGGACGGCGTGCAACGCGTGCTATTCGGCTCCGGCCTGCAGTTCTGGCTGCACCGGCTGCTGTTCCTCGACGCGCTGAGCTACCTCAGCCACGGCCAGCTCAGTCTCAGCCTCGACAGGTGGATACTGGTCGATATCGATGACATATTCGTTGGCGAGAGAGGTACGCCAGATCTTGGTCACCATTCTTCTTGATTTTCAACTGTTTTCAGTCACCAGAATTCTATTTTTATTGACTTGAACGTAGTTTTCTAATGTTCAATACTCGTGCACTTAATATACCTTACCTTTCTTAACTGTGACAACTAAAAACGAAAGTAATTTTCAAATCCATTTACCTAATTTCTATCCTATTAAATCAACGATTTCCTCCTCATTCTAAAAAACTTCTTCGCACATTTCATGTCTGGCGACATTGACCCTCTCCCTCATGTCTCGGTCCTCATTCCCTCCTCAATCACTACATGAACCCTCTTTGCCCAGGGACACGGTTACACGAGGAGGACGTGCAGGCTCTGATGGCCTCCCAGTCGGCCCTCCAGAGGCTAGTGCCAGGGTTCCGGTTCAACCTCGGCTTCAGCGCAAAGTACTACCACCACGGAACCACGCTCGAAAACAGAGGCGACGACGCATTACTAAAGAATAGGGAGCACTTTAACTGGTATGTATGCTTTTTGTACTTTTTGACGGGTATCTTACCTACTTGGATAATTAAGTAGTATGTAGGTACTTTTCTCGGAAAACTGCTGAAAAAAGCAAGATTTGTTGAATACCCTTTAACCTAGGCGCAGACCACCTAACTTTTTGTCGGCCGATAGTTTAGTCAGGCAGTTAATCAGTATGGGCATGTATGGAAGTGCGCACATTACACCGATTGAATCTTTATACAAATTAGAATCGGGCACAAATTAATTATCGGCCGACTAAAAATCGGTGGTCTGCGCTAAGCGCTAAGCTAGAGAACACAAGTGGCACCAAGTAATAGGTACAGTACTCGAAAATATCTGTATATCGATCACAAATATTACCTTGACTTGACCTCAACTCAATAAGCCACCAACAAATGGGTGAAGTATTTATTGACATATTTTTATTTTCCAAAATTAATACAGTGTTTCGGTAAATCCTACCTAGGTACTAGATAATTAATCGAGTTGAGAAGGCATTTTTCAAAAATGGATAAAAAGTTAATATTAATGCTGCCTCGGCACGTTAAATAAAATAGTATGTTAAAACTGATTTCGGGTTAAATGAGCGTATAACTCTGTAATTGAACCCAATTCGCTATAAATTAATGTTATTTTAGAGCAAGCGTTTAAATATTTGCGGAGCAAAGCTACGTGCAAACCTGACTTAATTTATATTAACTGTAAATACATAAAATGTTCAGCTTGGTAAATCTAGTGCAGTGCATACTTGGAAATTATATCATAAGGTTTTTGCAAAGAAAATTACTGTCTCGCGCGGCGCTGCAGTGGCGCGTGCCAGGATTCCGGTCCGGTTCAACCTCAAAACATCTCGCTCATAATTCATTTTATCACGGAATCATTTGTTTACACCTGATAAAGAGTTGGCACCACGCCCAGCTTCGAGCGTTCACTCGGTGCATATAAATTAGACTAGGCATCCTCCGCCCATGTTTACGTGGTACATTTTTCGCAAACGTGAATCACTTCATTTAAAAAAGAAAAAGCTATCACTTTTCCCTCGCGATAGAGAACTACGACTAAACAATAGCGAAGTGCTAACTAACAAAAAGCAAAAGCGATGCCGGGATTTATTCGGAAACTAACCGGCAGCGGACTTCCTAATTCGGAACTGGCTAAATGAGAATCTGACCTAGTGCTCGTTGTTTTTGCAGCTTCACTGCTGTGTGCAGTGATCCTTGCAGTTGATAAACAACGATCAGTTTGCGAACTTTCCTTTTTTTCGTTTATTACCGGGTAACATATCGATTGAGTGCATCACAGGCAACTCAAAACAACTATCGGATGTAGTCATGGCTATGTTTAAAATACAATTCGGATATTTTAGTATGTTAGTCACGAAATTAGGTACTCTAACCGCAGCAGCGTGTAAAATTACCTGTGGCGTGGTAACAGTTAATGTTATGGATTTGTGCTTCATTACTGTTTGTATTGTTGTTGTAATTTTAATTTAATTTTATGTAGGACTAGCGGCCGCCCGCGACTTCGTACACGTGGATCCCGTTTACCCCCTTCATCTATCTTACGCGGTTTAGATTTTTTCATACAAATATTTTTTCCCGCTAACCCCCGTTCCCGCGGGAATTTTGCAATATCCTGTTGTAACTAAGCTTTAAGTTTATTAAGGTATGCCAAATTTCAAACGTCTAACTCAAGCGGTTTAGATTTTTCATACAAACGGATTTTCCCCTCTAATTCCCGTTCCCGTGGGAATTCCTAAGTATCCTATAACCTGCCCAGGAGTTTGAAGAATAATTGTACCAAGTTTCGTTAAAATCCGTCGAGTAGTTTTTGTTTCTATAAGGAACATACAGACAGACAGACAAAAATTTTACCGATTGCATTTTTGACATCGGTATCGATCACTAATCACCCCCTGATAGTTATTTTGAAAATATATTTCATGTACAGAATTGACCTCTCTACAGATTTATTATAAGTATAGATATTCATTAAACATTATTTGAAACTCGAACCACAAAATTATTCAGAAGTCAATTAACTAAATTGACATCAAATATAAATAAATCGTTCGGTGATCGATTGATCATTTTTTGTCTACTAATGATCGGTATGTTTTCATAACGAAAGTTTATGTAGGTACATTTGTAGTTGCGTATCGACCTTTTAATGAAACTTACAGTTATTATATTCAAGGCCGTGAAAAGTATGATATATAAGATCTTTTTGTGTCTTTATTATCTTAAAAGGCATCAGTAACAATGATCCATTTATATGCCCAGTTTGACCTTCTGGTTTTTTGCTGTACTTACTTATCAATAGCTCTACCCTGATTACGCAACTGAATGTTAGACTTTATTGACCTTACCTTTGGGTTCATAATAACAAAACTTTTTTGTCACCAGGTTTTGTCACATGTGGAACCATCAGCAGCCACATCTATACAACAACGTGTCCCAACTCGAAGCCGAGATGATGTTGAACAAGCAATTTGCTTTAGAACACGGCATACCAACTAACTCTTGTTACTCTGTGTCGCCGCATCACTCTGGGGTATATCCAGTTCATGAGCCGTTGTATGAGGCGTGGAGGAAGGTCTGGGATGTGAGGGTCACGAGTACAGAGGAATACCCACACTTACGACCGGCTAGGTGAGTTTTTTGTTGGTACTGAAGATTTTCAACCAAAACCCAAAAGTTGTAAAAGATGACACATTAGATCAGGGTTTCCCAAACTATGGGTAGCGACCCAGTGGTGGGTCGCGAGCGAACATTGAGTGGGCCCTGCCTGTAGAACGACCCACCACTCTACAGATCCGAGTCCTTTATTTAGGCATACTGGTAACGGTTAAATTTCCTATAGGTGGGTCCCGAGTTTGGGAACTTGTCTTAGATGAGTCGTAGCCCAGACAACTTTGAGAACCACTGCATTAGATAAATGGAAATACGATATATGAACCTTACATACAATTACAGCTTCATAGACTCTAAACATACCCCGAAGTCAGAACTTTATACTTACTATTTTCTGCCAACTAAACAATGTCATTGGCGATTTCGTAATTATCAAGCCACAAACGAGTCCGTGAACACAATGACGTTCGTTACCATTAGTCCAGCGCAACTTATTCGCCGCGGCAGGAAAACTATAACGATAGCAATGAGAGTTCACGTTCACTGAAACTGTCCGTGGTTGCTCGCCCCTAACTCCTGCCCGCAAACGCGGCGCCTCCGACCGGCATCGCCGGACCGACAATGAAATTCCAATAATTGTAATACTAGAATAGCACAGAGCATGCACACTAAACGCCGCAGCGATAATTACGCTGCAACGAGCCAAACGATCCGTCGGTTACCACTTGTAATACGCTCCGCCGCTGCCAAATGCCAATATTCGAAAACAACTGCGAATCTGGAGGTATTTAACTGGAATAACACACGGAACTTTGACAGATCGTTAACGTAGGAACAGCTATTCATATGTCACTCACGTTTCGTAGCTTTCCAAACATGACGGTTTTCAAATGGTCAATTTCACAAACGTTATGACTTCCAACGTAAATCATATTTCAATGCAATATGCGAAACCGTTTTGCTTATACATTTAGCTTGTTTAGGGTGGATTCGACCAAACAAGAGTAAAAATTAGTCTCAGAATAAATCGTCAGTTATTCGACATTTTGACATATTAACTGAAACTGTCAATGTTATACCAGGAGTTATTATTCTCGGATAAAATTTTGGTCGAATCGGGCCTTATACAAACAAGTGCTGAGCAATAGGCATTTTGCAAATCAATAAAAACGTTAAGGCTAAAGCCAAACGTAAGACTAAGCATTTGTTGTCAGCAAAAAAACATTAGTCGAGTTTCAGAAACCCTTTGGGTCCCTTTAAGCTCGCTTGGAGATAAACGCTTATACAGGGTGGAAACGTTAAGTGATCTCACTCGATTATTTCTAAACTATACAAGATATCGAAAAACTGTTTACTGATCCTGAAAGTGCTTCACGAGCTCTTTCAAACGGTATCAGTAATAGGTTACAGAATTAACTGGATCTATCCGAAAATTCAATGTTTTCAGCCTCCATACTAAATGTACGCCAGTCACATAATATTAGAAGTGTTATTTTTTATTAAATAATAAAAACTTCAAAGAACTCGTAAATTGCATTCTTATTTAAAATTATTAATGGAAAACATTTGTTTTAGGTTTTACTTGCTATAATATTATCAAGACATGAGTGCCATGACTGTGGCAGTACTAAATGTATGAAAGCTAGAAACTTTGAATTTTCGGATAGATCCAGTTTATTTTGTAACTTATTATTGTTACCATTAGATAGAGCTCATGAAGCACTTTCAGGATCAGTAACCAGTTTTTGGATATCTTGTATAGTTTTTAATATTATGTGGTTTTACTAAATGTATGGAAGCTGGAAACATTGAATTTTCGGATAGATCCAGTTTATTTTGTAACCTATTATTGGTACCGTTGGATAGAGCTCGTGAAGGACTTTCAGGATCAGTAACTAGTTTTTAGATATCTTGTATAGTTTAGAAATAATCGAGTGAGATCACTTATCGTTTCCACCCTGTATACGAGATGAGAAGAGACACACACAATACAACATTTCTTTTGTAGGCGTTGTTACCTACCATCTTGGTGTAGCTGATTCCTTGTAATTTGACGTCAAAATTATAGCACCGTCGTATTTACTTTTAGTGATATTATTCAATGACCCATGAATGTGCGTTTTTGAAACTTTTTATGGTTATATACCGTATTAAGAAGGATCGAATACAGTTTTCAGTGAGCATGTATGTTTTGTTATTCAGGCGCTACACGATTTTTTCGGATTTTGAAGAAAGCTCGATTACTTGATATTTATAAATATTTTCATGAACATTTTTCTTTCACATATACGCACAAATCAAGAGCTACTCGTGTGTGTTTATTCTATAGGCGCACATATAACGGTTATTGAGATAGAGCATTCTGCAAAACGTTACCCTGGCAGGAAATGCAATATCTCGAAAACCTGAAGACGCACAAATCACATTTTCAGCTCACATAATAGAACAAATATAAGCTATCTGCTCGTACACAGTTTTTCTCTTTCCGATCATTCGTTTAGAATTTTCCTGCTAGAACAACGTTACTCCAGCAGGAATCGTTTTTTTCGTTTTGTACCAAATCGACAGCACGCACTAATCTCTAATTCGGCGCACATTTACACCATGTTGGGAACTAATTATACGTTCTACTCATATCACTCTAGGAGCTACTTTCCAGCTGGAGTAACGTACACCAAAGATTATTAATTTATGGGGTGGTGACGAAAGTCGGTATTCGCGTTACTTTATCCCGTAATCCTACTAATATTATAAATGCGAAAATTTGGATGTCTGGATGATTATTACTCTTTCATGCAAAAACTACTTAACGGATTTTGATGAAACTTTACAGTATTATTGTTTATAACCGTTCCAAGGATATTTATTATAGTAATATTGTAATTAATCAAAAGTGTTAGGTAATCTATATTTGACAGGACCAGACAAATAAAAAGTTCTAAACTATAAGCTAATTAACATGTAACAGTATCTAGACCTTTTTGTTGCTTTAAAATGACAATTTTACAGATTACGTAAGACTTACTGTACTGTACAGTACACGTTAATTATTAAAACCTCTGTTTATAAGCACCCATTTATGTTCTCGTTCTAAAATTAATGCTTATGTATGACATACGATAGCGTAATGGATTCTGTTTTTCATTTCAAACTTTAATGGGAGGAAAACCTTATTAAATTTATAACATATTATCCATTATGCTATAACATGTGCTATGTTCAAGGATATAATCACATAATACGATTAAAAAGAAAAAATAACATCTCATGGGGCGTCTATAAACGAACAATTATAAAAATAAAGTAATTTTCCTCTTATTCTTCTAAATCCAATTCTTTGCCAGTAGTTTAATGAACTCTAATTGAAGTTTTGATTGAATTGATTTATTAGATTGATCATTTTGATAACTTGATTTGAAATTTAAATTGTATACCTCCACTTAAAGCTTCGGAATCAGAGTTTACTCTTCATAATAACCATTCTGATAAGTAGTCGTTAGTTTTTCTAATTATTGAGTGAACTATCAGGGAAACTTTTCAAACTTGGTCTGAATAAAAAATAAACTCGAGGCGAACCATTAAGTTCAACTTTTAATTAACACGAGCTACTCAGTGCTTCATTAATAGCATAAAATTTTTCAATATGTGTTACTATTAGCTATGCTCTGCGATTTCGTCCACGTTGGACGAGTGATTGATTTTTACTGATTTTGTTTTTGAAGACTTTACAATTAAATGAAACATTTTTTTGGCATCCTGGGGTCCAATAACACGTGACCTATTTAATTAGGCTACTTTAAATCGAAATCTACGCAGTCTCGGGTAAAAGCTGTAGACATTTTACGATTTGTAAACGAGCAATCGTGAATGTGTGTAGCTTTAAATGTCTAGCATTTAGGTAGACTGAAAAACGTAACTGAAAAAGCATCACCAGGTTCACCACTGCTATAACTGCTAACAAATCTCTTTATTTTATAAACAATACTATAATTGTAGTGAGAAAACCTACACATACCGACTGGAAAATGTATTTTTAAATCGAGCTCGTGCCGTTTTCACATTAAATGAAAACTAATCTAGACTCGGTGTTAGTTTAGTGCATTAATTGCGTTTTATCTAAGCCCAGTAGTAAAATTACTTTATATTTATCTCTCTACAAAACTTTCCAAGGCAAAAGTAATTGACTGACCATCATCAGTGTATGTAGCATATTTGCACCATGATTTAATGATAACAATTTAACCTGGTGTCTTATTAATTACACTTTAAGACAGACTTTATATGCTTTTTTTCACATAATGAAATTTTATAACAATAAATATAAGCCTTTGAAAAATGATCACCGTGTGCAACCAACTTCGAGAGATTACCATATCTCTAACAGTGAAACACGGGACCTTCCGAAGTTGTGAGCGTCCAACTATAAGTGCCGCAAAAGTTATTGTTTATGTCAAACTTACAGCTGACTAGTGTTAGTTGGAGTGCATTAATTGCCAGCTTGCATGTAGCAACGTGTTTGACTTTACCCACACGTCCTCGCGCCGGCTTAGTGTGATTATGCCGAAAACCTCGCTCTCTGCTAATGAACTGCAGTAATTGTTAATGCAAAGACTAAACGTATCCACGTAAAGGCACCGCTTGAAAATTCTCATCTAGTTAAGAGCTAAGAAAACGAGCGAATTAAGCTTGAGCTCAAAGTGCCAAATATAATAGTGGTCGTGCTGAAGCAATGATGAATAATAAACGCGAAGTGTAAAAGTTTAAAGCGCGGTAAAGCATTGCGGGGTGTCGGATTTTATCGTTTGTAGTTTATGGCTTTATTATAATTTGCCAGTTGACGCCACTGGCGAGTAAGGTCCACATTGGCGCCAACGTGAGAGTGCTGAAGCGGTAGGAGCTTTTCACGATCGAGCTAGTTGACGACAAAAAAATTGGTAAAATCTGAAGATGCCAACTTGGGGGCACTCACGCAATAGTTTAATTTCTATAGATCGTTTCATCCACGAAGACGCGCCCCACCATTCTTCCGCTAATATTTGAGTGTTATCGGTACACGCTAAATCATCCATGAGTGCACACGCACACTACAATAATGACGCTTGGATTGCTCGGATCAAACTCCCCGCGCCCCGCGCTTCCCTCGACCGAAAATTGGTGGAGCGCGTCTTCGTGGATGAAACGAACTATATCTGTCGTACCCAAATGGGACGTAATGGGTCTACGTTACTTATGTCATATTGTTTGTGCAGATTACGACGTGGGTTCCGTCACCGAGGCGTGATGGTGCTGCCACGGCAGACGTGTGGCCTGTTCACGCACACGCTGCTGCTGGAGCGCTATCCGGGCGGCCGGCAGCGCCTCGACCGCTCCATACAGGGCGGCGAGCTCTTCCAGACCGTCATCAACAACCCGGTGAGTGTATACAGGGCGTTGTATTGCGACGTGGGGCCGTCACTGAGGCGTGATGGTGCTGCTGACGCTATTTTGGTAGTCTCGTAAATACGATGTGACAAAATCTACTAAAACAGATTTTGAATAGTACCGATCTAAACATTATGGCAAAACTCTCCACTATAGTGGAGGAGGCTCATAGTCCAGCAGTGGACTGTAAAGGGCTGTGGATGAGGATGATGAAACATTATTTCACTTTTGTATAGATGGTTTCACATTTCAAATCTATTGATCGAGTAGTCAAATCTGTGATAACCTTCGTCAGCGACAGCTATGTGCAAGATTGTCAATAATTTCTGAAGTGTTGATTTGTAGGTACATATGTTACAGGAAATGTATGAAATCTAGGAATTGTATACTTTTCCTAGGAAATGTATACAATTCCGAAGCTATTTAGGAAATGTATAATGTATTGCTTCAGAGATTTTTTAATACGCACATATCCTAGGAAATGTATACTTTTCCTAGGAATTTTATAGAATTCCAATATTGTATTAGGAAATGTATAAAACTAAGCGGCACAAGCACGGTCGCGTGGTCGGGTGCCCCTCGGTACGCCTAAAATTTCATTTAGCCAAACCACATTGGCCGATAGGTACTTTTAATTCACAATTATTATTGTTTAGCCTGACAGTTGTTTTCGCACTATTATACTTTGGCCGAAAAAAATATTTGCCTAAAATTTATTAGCATACCTTTCTTTCGGCATCACGCATATTACGCTGAAGTATTGGAAATCCCTAATTTTAACATCTCTTTTATTAAACTATTATTGGCATGAAGGTTTTAGTACTCCTGTAGCTGGATAACAATGTCTCGGTTAGGTTAGGTTAGACTTGCGACCTTTTCTCCGAAACTTTTGAGTAGGCTTAAAATTTGTGTGCCATAGACAACTAGGCGTACAAAAAATTTGGCGATTCGATAGAGACCCCGCGTAATCGGATGATGCAATATCCTCCCCTCGCACCGCATGTCCACGCGTATTCATTGAAATCTTAACATTTCCGATTGCTGTTTAGGAAATGTATAATTTTCCTAGGAAATGTGTCTAATATTTTTTTTTTTTTTTTTATCCACAACGAGGAAGCTCTTGGCCTGTATCTCACCTGATGGTAAGTGATGATCAGGCCGAAGGTGGAAGCGAGCTTCACCCGGAATCCTCAACCACGGAGGAACTGGCTATCTTACCTCTAACTGAATTTACATCACACATTTCCGGGTGATTTTAGGACTTATACACAATTCCTAGGAATTGTATACAATGACGGATTTCATACATTTCCTGTAACACATACATAAGGCAGAGGAAGCATATTTTTGTTATTTTTTCAATTTGACAAAACCGATCGTAAAGTTCAAGTATATGGCAGGATGCTGACCCACATCTCGCAATCATGTTGATAAAATAATTCAGCTTGTAAAATAAACGAGCCCGTGTGACTCGATTACATTCTGTTTCACTTAGTCACGCTCCACACGGCGCGATGTGCGTGAGTACTCTCCTGTTCAAAATAAATGGCGTCGTAATAACTTTCATTTTTAATTGCGAAATAATTTTCCACAATAACGCACAGTTAAGCAATAAATTCACTGAATCCTGATCACTCTTCACTCTTATTTATACAGTCAATAAACTAGAAAATCATGTTTCCACTTTCCAATTAGGTATATCTTGATGGCTTTTAATTTACAAGTGTTTAATTTGCTTAACTAGTTTCTTGTTGTATAAATATTCAGTAGTTGACAGTCTAGTATAGAAATGTTGACACCTGTGTCGACATCGGAAAGCTTGCCGTTTACTCTCTTTCACTATGACTTATCTATATATATAAAAATGAAACCCGTTTCGCGTTGTCACGGCATCACGTGTGAACGGCTGAACCGATTTCGATAATTCTTTTTTTTAAATGTTTGTGGAAGTCCAAGGATGGTTCTTACGGAAAAAAATATTAAGAAAATCTCTACGCTAAGGCGGTACGAAGTTCGCCGGGTCAGCTAGTATGTAATAAATTCTTATTTAACATGCCCCTTTCTCATGTACTTGGAATGAATGAATATTTACGCACTGTAATTCGCTTAACGTATTAAAATTGTTGCTTTAAATTTATATTACATTAGAAAATCCTACCAACAGACAGATCGAAGAGAAAACATTGTAAATGTGAATTGTCTGCCAAAGGACAATGACCAAAAGTGGTCCAAATGTCCACCACTAACGAGACCCATATTGGCTTATAGTCCCTTAAATAGAGATTAACTTTCAGTATGGGACGAAAAAAAAATAAGCTGTCAGTAAAAAGTTACGACTGTATGAAAAATTGTAGTAGTTTACGCGCTAATCTCAGGAACTACTGGTCCGATTTGAAAAATTATTTTTGTTATGGATAGCCCATTTATCAAGGATAGTTTTAGATTATATAACATCACCCTATAACCAATAGGGGCGGAGCAGTAAAGACAATTAATGTTGTAAAAATTCAAACTATTTTCACGCGTACTAAGTCGTCGGCACAGCTAGTATAATATAATATAATTCGTCTATAACCCCGCACCAGTTGGGGAAATAAGACTATTTTTACCCCTATCGCATTATTCCAAGTATTCCAATATTGTTGTCTTTCTTCTGAGCTTTTTTTTCTTTTAGTGAGAACCTAACACGACACACTGTGCGACATTACATAACATGCATAGATTAGTCCAAAATGTGCGATGGATAGAATGATATCAAGAACATTTTTCGGATGAAAAGGTGAAAAACATGACTTTTCATTCAGTGATAACTTTTTACTGACAGCATATTTTTGATTGCGGTTTGGTTATAATAAATCAGTATTTAGTAGACTATTTTACTACATAGGTCTCGTTAGTGGTGGACATTTGGACCACACTCCATACATTTTTGGTCATTGTCCTTTAAAAGCTTCGCCGACATTGCCGCCATGAACAACGTTTAATTATTTAATGAAGGATGTATGCGTACTTGCACAGTGTTCGTTCGGTCTTGTTTGCCGGCATGGCGCAAGGGAGTCTCAAGTACTTTCTCGGGCAGATTAATTGACAAAGGTAGCCGCAAGCTCTTTCGTGAAAATAAAATAGGAGGCACTGCAAAGTTGTTCAATAACCAAAGTAATAATAATACATGTTTTTACAGTCAATAGCATAGACTATCTGTGCATATTTACAACCCGATAAAACTAACTGCACACCTCCGCGCGTTCGCCCTGTCCGTACCAGAACCGTCGATATAGGGTTGCCAACTTTTCTTTCAAAATATAAAGTATATTAGAGGTCGGAGAAGGAAAACAGACAGTATTAAAAAAAAACAAACAGTATAGCTCTACAACGCGTACTTAAATGTGGTGTTGGGCATTTACTTTTAAAAATATCTATGGATACTAGTGATGCTAGCTGAAAACAGTATTTTGTATACTTTATTTTTGTTCAACAGTAAAAAGTATAATTTAGTGAAAAACAGTATAATACTGTTCAAAACAGTATAGTTGGCAACCCTACGTCGATATGACGTTACGGCTGCCAGGTGCGCAGTTAACACGTTCGGATTGTAGTTAGATATGCACATAACATACCGCATCGTTAAGCTTATGTTTTCATATCAGCAATGTGAAAAGGTAATCTGGTAAAGGTCGCGGGAAGAGCCTGGATGCGGGCAGCGCAGGACCGTTCATTGTGGAAAACCTTGGGGAATGAAGGATGTATGCGTACTTGCACAGTGTTCGTTCGGTCTTGTTTGCCGGCATGGCGCAAGGGAGTCTCAAGTACGTTCTCGGGCAGATTAATTGACAAAGGTAGCCGCAAGCTCTTTCGTGAAAATAAAATATGAGGCACTTCAAAGTTGTTCAATAACCAAAGTAATAATAATACATGTTTTACAGTCAATAGCATAGACTATCTGTGCATATTTACAACCCGATCAAACTAACTGCACACCTCCGCGCGTTCGCCCTGTCCGTACCAGAACCGTCGATATAGGGTTGCCAACTTTTCTTTCAAAATATAAAGTATATTATAGGTCGGAGAAGGAAAACAGACAGTATTAAAAAAAAACAAACAGTATAGCTCTACAACGCGTACTTAAATGTGGTGTTGGGCATTTACTTTTAAAAATATCTATGGATACTAGTGATGCTAGCTGAAAACAGTATTTTGTATACTTTATTTTTGTTCAACAGTAAAAAGTATAATTTAGTGAAAAACAGTATAATACTGTTCAAAACAGTATAGTTGGCAACCCTACGTCGATATGACGTTACGGCTGCCAGGTGCGCAGTTAACACGTTCGGATTGTAGTTGGATATGCACATAACATACCGCATCGTTAAGCTTATGTTTTCATATCAGCAATGTGAAAAGGTAATCTGGTAAAGGTCGCGGGAAGAGCCTGGATGCGGGCAGCGCAGGACCGTTCATTGTGGAAAACCTTGGGGGAGGCCTTTGTCCAGCAGTGGACGTCATTTGGCTGAAACGAATGTGAAAAACCGAATAAACCAACGTAAGCTTGTTCCATGAATTGCGAATTTATTCATGCCGTTCGTCCACCAGATCAACGTGTTCATGACCCACATGTCGAACTATGGCAACGATCGGCTAGCGTTGTACACGTTCGAGTCGGTGGTGAAGTTCCTGCGGTGCTGGACGAACGTTCGGCTCGCGTCCGCGCCGCCGCTCGCGCTCGCCGAGAAGTACTTTCAGCTGAGGCCCGACGAGTTGAACCCGCTGTGGGGGGTAAGTTGTAGAATATAGATCCTATAGTCCATTCAGCGTAAGATGGTGATTATGACAGTTCTATTTAGTGAGGCGCTCCTTATAAACCTAATCGATATTTTTTAGAATCGAGAATATTTTCTATAGAAATCTAATCGCCTTTTATTTGTTTGATTTTTAATCTTGATCAAAATTATATCTATGAATTTGAACTATCTGGAAATGGAATAAACGTGAATATTCTTAGTGGTACAAAATAAATCACAAAGAATTAAATATATGCATTTTATTCAATAAAACATCAAAATAACAGTAACAAACAATACGTGGAGAAATCGCATAAAACAAAACCGTCATCAAAGGTAAACGCACACGTACTGACTTAGCTTTGACCTGCCTGAGATAATAATCGTGATTCGATGGTAAGATGACCACCATGCCGATTACTGATTTATTGCGATTGTTTATGTCCCATCCCTATGAGCAAAAGTTCCGACTAACGCAGAAGCAATTCATTTAATATTTTTTCACAATTTTTTCTAAATAATAAACTAATAAATAATTAGAAATTCTTGTTTAGGTTAATTGAGAAAGATTAGTGATTGATATTTTGGAAGGATGAAAACACACAAAAGTAATTGATTTTTACAACTCAATATTTTATTCGTAGAAAGTTAGAATCATAAAACGAAACGTCTAAACTGTCTAAATCACCATCATAAGTTGAATGAACTATAGCAATTTTCATACATTTAACTTTTACTTTTATTTATTCAAAATCTACAGCTCTTCTTAATATTCGTATTGGGTCAAACACGTTTCTTACTACGTTCAATCTGAATCCGTCAAAATACGGATCTAGAACTCGGTTGACAGAAATCGGATCTAGTGTGTGCTTTATAGATAGTTCTACGACAACTTCGGACGTGTTTTCACGGATTGAAATTTGTTGGACGTAGTGCGAAAACGTGTCATCGCGCGTCATCTAATTATATTACAATCACAGCGAACAAATAACATGAATTTTATTTTATACTATGAAACGAATATAGAACGAAACAAGGCTTTTAACTTTGATATATTTATGACACAAGCTCCAAAAATATGTATAAGTGATAGAAAGCCGTGCACGGCGACCCGTATTTCAGACACGACCAAGCCGCAGAAACAATATGGACGACGCACGAGTTTTAATATTTTATTGTCTCGCGAGATATCATTGAAATACGGTGAAGAATTTGAAATGTATTTCATGTTGTGGGACACTGCATTGTTTACCGTCTGAATTGAATAATATTTCAGAACCGAACAACAAATTCAAGCGCGCCAAGCGGTGACACGACCTCCACTGTTTGTTATTTAATATTTAATTTCGGTAACGGTCGAATAATTGTACATTTTCATCCCGTCCGCCGCATGATTTCAACAATTTTCATATAACTATGGTTTCAATCAGCTGGACTGGACATTCTGTTTGGTCAAAATGTTTTCCGATAGTCGGTATCAATTTGTCCAATATTATTATGAATGACGCCCAAAACTCGATCAAGCCTGTTAAATTTTGTATTGTAGTGTTGTTTCGTATTTATGGGCTCTGTTGTGATTTGAGTAAGATTTACAATTCAACTCCTTGTTGAAGTTGGAATCAAGTTTTGGAACTTTTGGGCATGTCGTTCTATCATAATGCTCTGCAAATTTTTCTGCATTATTCTACCACTACAAATAAATTATATTTTGTTTAGAATCCATGCGACGACATTCGCCACCGTCGCATATGGTCGAAGAGCAAATGGTGCGGGACGCTACCGAAGGTTCTGGTAATTGGACCTCAGAAAACTGGCAGTACGGCGCTGTATACGTTCCTTGCGATGCACCCCGCACTGGTGCCCAACCTGCCCAGCCCTGCCACATACGAGGAGCTTCAGTTCTTCAACAACAACAACTACCTCAAGGGACTCGACTGGTAAGTACATTAATATGGATATGACCATGACTTAGGACGACCACGACGATGGACCGACGGCCTAGTGAAGGTCAGGAAGCGCTTGGATACCAGCAGTGCAAGATCAGTTATGGAAACCCTTGGGAGAGGCCTTTTTCCAGCAGTGGACGTCTTTTAGGATCATAAGTATTTTTTTTTTTATGTGATAGGAGGCAAACGAGCAGACGGATCACCTGATGGTAAGTAAACTATTTTCTTTACAAATGAATGAGGTGTCTTTATGATATTTATATTTTATCTACTACACAAAGTTTGTCGCATGACATGTCCTAAAATAGTGGTGAACAAACATCCAATCCCTCCGTGCCTTACCCGGAGGGCTCCAGACTTCCTAAGAAAATATCAAGTATTCAAGGTCCCATTCGTAGCGGTACAGATTACATTCCGCGTGTGCCGATACACGCACGTTGTCAGTTGTTTGCGAACTCTTACATTTACTGTTGCCAAGCAAGCGTTACGATTTAGTATCATTCCGTATTCCCCAGTTTGATGTTAAAACTTGTCTGAAAATACCTGCCGCGATATACAAACTTTGTTTCATAACTTCCCGCTGGTATTGCCCACCCCACTGCGCTCGGGTTAAAGTAGTAATTGAGGTACGCCACGGAAATCAATTTGGCAACGTATTGGCGGATTTTATTAACCAGTTTACGGTTCACATTCGAAACTAAAAACAACTTTGTTGGCGGTGAAAATTGTTAAGGGAGGTTTATGTCTTCCAGTCTAAATTGATTTCGGGGTCGACAGATCGACGGCAGTAAAAAGCGGGCAGCGCACTAGTGCAAATGTACATTCTGGATCCAATCAGTTGTCTTGTACGCGGTCCAATTTTACGGTTTTTGATCCCTTTGATCCGCTGTAACGGAAAAAGTACTTCTGGGTACAGGCGCAATGTGATTGGCGGCACGTACAGTGCACTCGCCGCCGATGGCTATTTACATTTTTTCGACTTCGAGGCTCGCGCTGTTTCGGATTTTATACCACAGAGTACCTATTTTTATTTTATATCTGTCTATCAGGTAGTAAAATTATGATCTTCAGATGTTTTTTTAAGCAAAAAGAAAATATAGTTAAATCTTTCAGCATCACTATTTATGTCTTTAAAAACTTATCACACTACACGTCTTATAAATGGAAAGTTCAAACCATTAACTCACCACGCTAGTTTAGCCAGGCGGTTGGCAGCTTAATTTTCTAATTTTTGGTTATTCAATCGGCCAGCGAATTTCCGATTATGATGCCCCGATACTGAAACGATTATGCTCATCATGACTGACAACTTAACTAGCACTTCTTGGTTAGAAAATAGGGGTGCTTATAGATAAATTAATAACCCTTTGTTTAACATGCGATTAATTTGCCTAAGTTAACATCTATAAGATCTTATTTAATATGACACCACTGCTAGTTCATGAAAGTAGTTATCAAAATGATTTATACAGGGTGTTAGGTAAATGGGTATACGAGCCGACACTAGCCCATGTTAACATGGTCATATAAATGGTATGGTGAAGTCAGAAATTTGATATCATCATTTTATTTTTTTTAAATTTCATACAAATCGGATTTTATAAAATTTATTTTGTAAAATGATGATGTCAAATTTCTGACTTCACCATACCATTTATATGACCATGTTAACATATCCATGTTAGATGTAGGGCTAGTGTCGGCTCATATACCCATTTACCTAACACCCTGTATTGTTCACAGTAATAGATGCGCAGACAAATTGTAAATTGCTTTTGAAAATTCTTAGGTTCCAATCGATATTTCTTGTAAATTCTAAATTGAAACGCTAAATGATAGGTTTTTAGGTTCGTTTTACCTTAACGATACATTGCTACAGGTACCTGAACTTCTTCCCGCCGAGCCTGAGCAACTCGTCGCAGCTGACGTTCGAGAAGTCGGCTACATATTTCGACGGAGACCTGGTACCAAGGAGAGCGCACGCGCTGCTGCCCAACGCCAAGATCATTGCTATTCTAATATCACCCTCCAAGAGGTAAGTTTACTGACAGACATCGGATTATAGCCTGACCAGGAACATAAAAACCCTCGCCATGTTGCGGAAAATTAATGGTACTAATTTCTTTTAATGGCAACAATAACTGAAAACTTCATTGACATGTCACCTTGCATGTCAGTCTATTGCTGTCAAAGTGTAAACAAACTTTATTTTAAATGTGCGCAATTGATTTTGTGAATTAAATTGCTAAAATCTTTTTATAGTCGTGAAAGAAAAGTGGTTCACAATGTGTTAAAGTATTTGTCGAAGAGAAATATTAAGGGTTCGGACAATATTTTCATTGAATAATGTTTCCGACAAAGGTTGTCAAATTGACTGACATGTTTATCGTATAGTACAGTCAACTATGAAAATTAGCTGTGGTTTGTTTCAACTACCTATTTTAAAGTTTTTTGTCACTTTGTAAGTATTGAATTTTATGGAATTGGGAAAGAAGTACCGAGTTTGAAGCGTTCATGAGCAGACATTGTAGTTGAATATTCAAGTTCAGAATTTGATTATTGATGAATAATAATAAAATCCTACTTGCTCGATTGATGGTTTCATTTAATTTATTTAAACCAGTTTACCTATAGTATAATACGTTTTTGTTAATTTATGAAAATATTAAATAAGCCTATAATCCTGAATCCTGATACATAAAGTTAGCCTATTAATTTAATACAGGTACGACTGTACCCAGTGTTGCACTATCAAATGCAATTGAAGCGCCTCTATGCCAGGGTTTTTATGTTCCTGGTCAGGCTATAGATGTTTTTGTTACATAGTAGTATTTATTACAGCTTCAATAGATTCCACAGTATTAAGCTTAATGTGCTGTCGTATGTAGGTACTTGTTGTTAGCGCCGCGCCGAGCGCACAAGTTGCTTTAAAGTTTGATATTATAACAACGAAATATCTACACTTTCTTATTATTTCTGACAAATATTTCTGTACTAATAAAGCTCTATTTTACTCGTAGTGAGTGAGAGAAATAGGCAACGAACCGGGTGCACTTAATTTTTCTATCCTAAAAGAAGCTTACTTTATGAGATAGTGTGAAAGTTACACAAATAGTTTCAGTTTTTGCCACGAATTCGACAGCGCCGAGGATTATACGAGTAAAAACAGAAACAGTATGAACACACAAGTATGATGTTGTTTCGAACAAGGATATGAAAATTCCTGCAGGTTAGGAAATTTCTTGTGTAGGTGAAATGCTATTGAAATACTTGCATGATATTGTAGCGCATAACTGAGTCTGTTCCTGCAACAACCGCCTCTGTGGTCTAGTGGCAAGACCACCTGCTTCAGACGCAGAGGTCCCGGGTTCGATTATCAGTGGGGGCAGATTTTCTGTTCGGTTTGGTTGGTGGTAGGGTAGGGCTTGTTCTAACTCCGCCTGGCTAACTACCACCATCTTACCTAAGTCGGTCGCCATAAAAACAATGTTAACACAGCATTGTTGTGTTCCGGCAGTTAGAGGTAAGATAGCCAGTTCCTCCGTGGTTGAGGATCCCGGGTGAAGCTTGCTTCCACCTTCGGCCTGATCGTCACTTACCATTAGGTGAGGTACAGGACAAGAGCTTCCTCGTTGTGGATAAAAAAATGGAGCGGTGCGGAGGGAAGTTTTTGTTACGTCAAAACCGTGACTGCCAGCCGTGACAGCTATTTTACGTCACATGTCATTCCCCCCGTACCGTTCGACTATTCTATTAGATGACCCACGCTGAACTGTCCCACAAAACTCAATGACAGGGGGGCGCTAGTTCAACTATATGGTTTTCAACATGGCAAAAATCGGAACCAGCGATCCGGTATTGACGGTGGCGCCCCACTGTCAATGTCATGGATAGGACAGTTCAGTATTTTGGAACTATACCACAGGAGCCAAGTGATGTATGTATTGAGTCTATGCTCTATACCTGTAGTCTCGCCTAATAAGGCGAAGTTGCTACGAAGGCGCATCTTTGAATACTCATTGTTAGCAACATTTTTATATTAATAAGAGCGGAAAATTCTAAAGCAACTAAAAAGCAAATTCTCGTGAGCTTTCTTTACATTTGAACACTCATCAATTATTGTCAATTGTATTAGTACTTTTACCCGTAATAAGCATTCATCCAAGTTACCTAGTACAGCGTAATGTTCCCTGTGTATATTTTTATCTTTGAAACCGAAAATTTCTGCCAGTATCCTCCGGCGAGCGAGATATAATTACGCTCGTGTTGTAAATAGGACGAAACGGCGAGCAGTGAAAAAGTTTTTTCATTTTACGAACAAAAATATTATTACATTACATCTGACAACAAAGGCATCTAAATCTCATTACTTAGCTAATCAATGAGCAAGCTGAAACAGTAAGACGTGACATCGCGATGTTGGCGTGAAATAAGAAGATCTATAAATAGTAGGTATTATACCTGCATAAGTAGGTATTATAAAACTGGAAAGCGAACCCTGCCCAAGTGAGTTCAATGAGGGCTATCGTTTTAGCGCTCACCAGTTAGCGCCACTGTAGAGTAAGGTCCTGTCACTTGCTAGTAGCGAAGACAGTGGCGCCAACTGGTGAGCGCTAAAGTGGTAGGAGGACTATCGCAATTGCACTCATCAAGATGGCGCCACTGTAGAGTAAGGTTCTGTCAATCGCCAGGGGTGCCAACTGTTAAGTATAAAAACGATAGCCCTCATTGCGTTGTCATTGATTGATAGCAAAGACCTAACTCAATGTCATACGTACTATACATGTAGTTTCGATTGACTATGTATTTTTTTAGAATTGTCTAGACTTCTCTCATGCATACATAATCACTCGTAAAGGAGGGCTTAGTTGGTTGGAAATTAATCTAAGTTACTGAGGCCTCTTTAAAAATCAATTTTGCTGTCTGGATCTTTTATACCAGATTTAATTAGCGTTTGTAATAACTTTACTCGTGTAGTAACCGCATAATAATTCAATATAAACTCATTATTAAATCAACTACGCTATTATGACTATACGATCTAATATAAGTACATAACACATCACATACACAATTCTTAAGATTAATTAAAGATATGTATTTGTAATAATATACGAGCAACATACTAGTCTTATATGTGCATGTTATTATCGCTTCGAATCATTCTCAGAATCAATCACGTGTACTCGTTTCAAACTAATTAAGTTAACGCTCGAACAGCTATTAGAAATTTATTTGAATCCAAAGCGAGATTAGATTTCTCCCCGTTCATTTTAAACAAGGGGTAGGTATACGGGTAACTGCGATTTAATCCAGATTAAAACGTGAAATAATAATGTGACTGACTAGACGTTCACCTTTCTGCGTCGAAAATTTAATGCCGTCGACGTAATCGACGTATCGTTGGATCTTTATCGAATCGGTATCGAAAAACCGTTGTTCGATTCTTTTTTAGCCTTAAATGTAAAGAATAAGAAGCCTAATTTCCAGCGTGAACTCGTAGGTTTCGAAGCATTTTATTTATCTACGCACAATCGCACATAGACTTGGATGAATATTAGACTCAAGACTTTCTCGTCTGAATTTTTTTGTCACCAATATGATATTGCATTATCTAACCCTGGGTTGCACCATCTTAATTTAACAAACGTCAAAAGTCTGTTAAACTCCATACAAAAAACGCCGGTTATCGATATAGTTACGATTAAAGTTAGATGGTGCAAATCAGCCTAAGTCGTATTAAAAGGTCATTTGACGTGTAAAAATGTCTTGAAACGTATTTATATTCATTTAGGAGTTAATCTAAAAATAAATGAAGGCAATAAATGGCATGTTCCATCCAATAAATACAGGTCTCCAAGGATACACGAAGCCGCTAAAGTTATACTGCCAATTATAATATTCGTGATGCCCCCAGGGAAAATCACATCAAATCGTTAAGTAGTTACACAATATAAGTTTATTAAATTATGTGATGTTATTACATTCATGCACAAATCTATAATGAATAAATTAATAATTTAAGACATAATACCTTACGACTGTTGCTCTAAAATTAATTAATTGCATAAGAAATTGTTTTCACTTTACCATAACCGTTACGAGGCTTCGCATTGGGTTGTAGCAGACAGAATTGCAAGTAACGTTAGAATCCTAATTTTAAGTGTACAGAAATTTATAACTCAGGACAGGCTGTCTTGGCGCCTCAGAACAAGGAGAGCCGACCCCAAATAATGGGAAAAAGGTTTAGGGAAAGGAAGAAGTACAGAAATCGTCAAGGAATTTATGAACAGCGTATTTGATTTGATATTATGAATTTCAGAGCACAGCCGACTGAAACACTAAATACTATCTACTTATCACCACAACTATGAAGTGTTTGATGTGTTGTCTAAGAGTACACCCCTTTTAGCTGGTGGTGGCTGAATTAATTGCCACCATATTTTGAACTTAATGCAGATCAAGTAAGGTGTATTTTTATAGTACAGGGGATTAAAACTATCGCTTTATTGCGCAGGGCGTACTCGTGGTACCAACACATCCGCTCGCACGGCGACCCGGTGGCCAACAACTACTCGTTCCAGGCGGTCATCAGCGCCAACGACTCTGCGCCTAAACCGCTGAGGGACCTCCGGTAACTTTTATTTATTCGATGGTTTATGTACAGTCGCGGAATGAAAAGGTTCGTCACCTTAGTGTCGGTTTTCGCTTGCACTAGGTACTGTAAGAGTCAAACCTGCCAACATAACAGTGCAAGAAACAGTGCTGCTAACATTTAAATAAAATTATGACGTTTGCTAACGAATAAGGTTTTGCTTGTTTAATTTTCTATCCCATCAGAGCAATGTTACAAAACGTAGTTTTTTTAATTTAATACAAAATGGCAGGTTGAACCAACAAGAAGGTTTTAGTTTATAAATCATAATAATCTTGACAAGATAAATCTTCAAACAACTTTTATCTGAATAATTTTGAACTTTACTGACGAACAGTTAAAGATTATTTTCTCTAAGTCGAGATTATTCTGTAACATAGTTTCAAAAGGTAATATGTGCTCGCGATTCGTTGAAGGAATCAATTTGAAAACTGACGAACCTTTTCATTCCGTGACTGTACTTTTATTTTTCCAGTGTAATTTGTTAATTTGACTTTTTATAATATTTTCATGTGACAACCCGGGTAATTTGACTTTTGAACCGCTGCTTTCTACCTAATCGCTAGTCTAGTCGAAAATACAGCGTGTCTTGTTTAATATTCATAGTCTTTTTCGGTTTTGCAAAGAAGAAAAGGAGAAAGTAAATTCAATTACAACACCTTGACGTAAAAAGAATTTTAAAATGAATCATTATTATGTAATATTATTCGGAGCAAACATCGTGCGCTTTTACGAGCATCTAAAAAAAGAAATTGATTCCGCTCTTGACGGGCACCATGAATTTATTATTAGATAGCTATCGCGCCTGCCTTCAGCTTTGCGCTGTAGGATTAGGCAAGCTTACATTATAATCATTTTTCCTCTTTCGCTGAACTCCGCAATACAAACATACCAAGCGAAAGCGAGCTGTATAAAATATTTATCGCGCTTTGATCTAACATCAGCGGCCGAATCGTTTAACGCGCTCTGTAAATGGAAAGCAAATTTGCGTAAAATTTATCACTAGTCACTATCGATTACCGCTGTCAACCGGCGTGTTATGAATATTCTAAGTGAATATTAATGAATTATTTCGGTGTACAATTGTAAAATAATTTTCTGCATCATCAAATTTTAGTTATTGGAAAATGTAATCGTATTATGTATTTGCTGTTTTGTGTTCAATGAATGTTGGTTTCAAATCAAATTATACTTTCGAACATACAGGTGTACGTTTTGATCCCGTCAAAACCAGTTCAACTGAAATTCAATCATACATAAAATGCAAATTATTAGGTAATTTATAAGTACATTCTCCGAATACGTTCATATTACATGATACAAAAAAAAAACGTTTAGATGGATTGGCTCGCTTTTTTAATTTTGTTGTCATTTCAATATCAACGGGGCACATTTTAACATCGGGATATATCTATCTGTGCCGTGTGGTGACGGCAGAGTAGAATACATTTCTCACCAACCCCTACTCTTCCCGCGGGTGTCGTAAGAGGCGACTTAGGGTCCACACATCAAACAGAGAACGGGCAGCAGCGCTCTCTGAAAAACATCAATCTTTTAAACTGCGATCTCCAACCCGCCTGCCAAGCGTGGGGATTATGGCAAAACCCTCCACTATAGTGGAGGAGGCTCATAGTCCAGCAGTGGACTGTAAAGGGCTGTTGATGATGATGATGATGATATCTATCTGTAATTTCGCACAGAAACCGATGTTTGAATCCGGGCAAGTACAGCCACTACCTGGAGCGCTGGCTAGCGGAGTTCAGCAGCCACCAGCTGCACATCATCGACGGCTCGCTGCTGCGCTCCGACCCGCCTAGCGTCATGAACACGCTGCAGAAGTTCCTCAAGCTCGCGCCGCATCAGGACTACAACAAGCTGCTCAAGTGAGTACACAGCTTGTGACCATAGATAGATCATAGACCAGCGGTTCCCGAAAGGTGGTCCGCGGAACCCTGGGGTTCCGTGGAAAGGCCGCAAGGGTTCCGTAAAAAATATTATCCCACGTTTCGTGACCGACGTTGTTCGCTCGCACCGACATCTTTACGCACAAGGGAGGGGCAGGGCGTGCGGGCGGAGTAGTACGGGGGTTCCGCTAGGAAAAGTATAATCAATTAGGGTTCCTTGGCAAAAAAAAAATGGGAAACCCTGTCATAGACTATTCTGTGTTCGGGACTATTCCCACCTCTCGTTCCCACCGCTCGCAACTCTTGTGTAGCCAGGATATACAGCTTGGCCGCCAATAAAAACCCAACCAGTGAAGGTCAAGTTTGTTCCGAAGGAAAGTTAAACTGTCATTGGACCGGAACGAAATTAATCAGAAGAACATAGGAGGAGTTCGAAGTTAAGGTTCGACTTTCCTCCATTGCAAACAAGTGACAAAGGTTTTAGTAACCTTAAAGAAAAGATCAGCGACGACCCATCCCAAAAAAAAAAAGAACAGACCATTCCGTGTCTTAAAATAACTTGTCAACTTATTTTAAGATCCTACTACTTAATATTAAATGCGAAAGTTTGTGTGGATGTGTGTTACTCTTTCACGCAAAAACTACTGAACGGATTTTGATAAAACTTTACAGTATTATTGTTTATAACCCAGAATAACATACAGGTTATAATTTATGACGATATGTGACAAACTAAATTTCACGCGGGTGAAGCCGCGAGCATAAGCTAGTAAACAATAACATGTCGTTTCTTACACAGGTACGACGCGAAAAAAGGTTTCTACTGCCAAGCGGTAAGTAACGAACGGACCAAGTGCCTCGGCAAGTCGAAGGGGCGCGTGTACCCGCCGATGGACGAGGCGGCCGCCAAGTTCCTGCGGCGCTACTACACGGCGCACAACACGGCGCTGTCCAAGCTGCTGGTGCGCCTGGGCCGGCCCGTGCCGCAGTGGCTCAAGGACGAGCTCTCGGCCAACGGATAGCACATCTCGCGACGCCCGCGGTTCAACGCCACCAGGCTCGTCCGAGTCTGCCTCGTCGCCGCGCCTTGACCGGACCAAGGCGCGCCGACCCCGTCAGTCATAGACTCTGTGCGTAGCGCGCCATACGCAACATTGTTTTCGAGTGTTTCGATGTGAGAGTATCTTTGTTGAAAATATCTTTGTCTATCGAATTCTTGTAATGTAACGTTTTGAAAAGTGATATTATATGACTTAATGTTCTCGATCTGTTGTTCGCGATGAAGATATATAATTATGGTAGATTTAATTTTACTGTCGTTTAGAATAGTGAACGATTCTGTGTTTGGACGCGGTTAGTTTGACTTTGCTTGCCTGAATCATGTTACTTCTTGGTCGTTGAAGTGGAGGGGAAATCCGGCAGCTTTTTTTATTTGACTGTCGGTTTAGGTGCTATTTGTTAGTAGTGTTGCAACTTGAACATTTCTCCAATAAATATATCTATATTGTATGTTTTATGTAAAATAATTAAGAAAATCAGAAGATGGAGCTTTATGTCAATGCCATACTTGCATTTTTCGTGTATGAGTTTTATTATAGCATTCTCATTCCACACTTGTACACGCTTATTGTTTTAGTGTTTCTTTGATTATTACAATATACGTACCTGATGAAGTTTGTAAATTATAGTTAATTTTGTACTTTTCGTATCGAATATTTAGAGCTAATTATTTAACAATTTCTACGTCTACCTGTGCCATAAAACATGTATTACTAACGGCACTAACGCATTAACATTTTCATTTTATTTTATTAAAAATGCATTTTGAACAATTGACAAAGAGCTAGTCTTTTAATTTTAATGAATGACATTACTTAATTCAATTTTAAATTCTTATCCGATTAATCAAATATCAATGAGTTTAGTTCAGTTACCGTTTAGCCGTAAGAGTTTTTAATATACATATTAAATATATTATGGCGTTATATTTTAAATAAATGATATCAATGACACAATGAATGAATCATAAATGTATTTGGTATATATTTTGATATGGATGAATTTATCGGCGAGGTAACTTGGGTAAGAGAAAGATTTGTAAAGTGAAGATCACTATGTGACATTTTCTTATCCTTGTATAAACGATTTACAAATTTTAGTGAAATAATGTTATTGATGTTATCTCATAATTACACATTCAAATTTTACGTATGCGAAATCCAATATTAATAAAATATATTAAGATTATGACGAAGAAATTATTTTTCTCTAATTTCTCTGACGCTAATATTATATTAGGATAAGGAAATGTAGTAGATGTCAGTACTTAAACTTGTATAAAATGTTTTTTTCTCTCAAGAATAGAAAATACAAAATGTTGTATTACGAAATTTATATTATAATAGTGTTGATGTTTTGTAGTAAATTATTCAGTTAAATGATTAATTTTACGTTAGTTCAATTACGTTTTCAGTTGAATCGCTTATCTCATTGTGTAAACATGAATGTTCTGAACATATTGTGAAGTCGTGTGTTACGTAGAGAATGGCCTTATTTACGAAGTTTTTACGTGAGCTGTGCTGCAGTCGACTTGTTACACGCAGTCTGCGCGGGCGCACGTGACGTCACAGACGGCTCGCCCGAGTGTGCCCGAGTGTTCCTGTGGAACGGTTGTGTTTTCTTGGCAATAACAATAGTTATGTTAACTAGTTCGCCCGAACTGATGTCCACATAATCGTTAATTTAATTCGAAACATTGTTTTAATATTACGTATCCGTAAATATTTTTTAACGATACAGCCAATGACTGCTCTTAAAATGTGTTCTTTATAAGAAATTAATACATCACTTATTTTATTAAATGATTTAAAACTATGGCCGTTGTTTTTCTTCCGACAATCCCCAATGAGATGTTTAGAGGAAAACGTAAATTATAGTATAGCGGATACACGGAAGGCATCTATTGTGCCGTCAGAGCCCGCTAAACTGCGAGGCATTTAGAGAAATTGTGGCCGTCGTTATCCGCATATCGGCAATATTCGACTTACCGTGCACCCGGCAACTGCAGCTCTCGAGAAATACAATCTAACCGCTCCCAACATCTTGAAAAATGTATTACCCTCGTACCGTATTGTTCGATACGATCCCCTCCGCGAAATACTTTACATGCAGCTATAATTTTCGATTTGAATGGGTGCATCCGTAAACAAAGTTCGCTGAAAGCCGTAGACAAAATACGAGTGAATAGGTAAGTGAAGTTCGTGCTAGACTCTGCTAACTCCTTTTATTCAGTATTTTACTATTCGCGTTTTAAGACTCCGCCTCTCTTCCTTGAGAGTTAAAAGAATTTCAGACTTGAAAATTTATTGTTATTATATAAAATGGCGTAAAAGTGTTTGCGTGCGCTGAAGTAAATTTAAAGTGGGATAAGCTTTTTAAAGAACTGGAAGGAGAATAGCAAAAAATCTTAATCACATCGTCACACCCGTCATCGTTTATGTTGGAAAATGTAATAAAAGTCGGCTAGTTGAACTCCGGTTGAGTAATAAATTTGCATTCAATGAATATAATTGGATCCCGTCGATAAGCGAAGGGAAGACTCCACCCCACGCTTCATTTGCTTGCTGATCGTAGCCGGGATGGTCGTGATGCCATTATTTCACTTGAAATTGCTATACTAATTTTAAACAATTCTAGCATAATTTGGATCGAGAGAAAAATTTTATGTGACCTGAAATACATAATTTCTACCACATGATATTTGTGTGCGATGACTTCCTCATTTCCTAAGATAGATCATTAATTTTCTCACGGGCTGAAATTGTTACAGCTACGCTTAGTATGAACTCGATTATTATTTACCTATATTTCAAGTATTCGTCAACCACGAGATATAAGCCCGCAATCAATAGCTCAATAATCAGAACAATGTAAATAGGGCAATTATACACCATAATTATTTGGTTCACTAATAAATTCATGGTAAATTGGCGTCGAGTGTCGGGCTCTGGCTCTGGCGATCAAAACTGACATGACCCGACTCGATCAGTTGAATAATCAGAACAACGTTTCGCGACCGAGCATAAATCAATCAGTCCTACCCACTTAACGGTTCGTTCCCCCCATTGTGCCCTTAACTGGACAAGTCTTCATTAGTAACCCTTAGCTTTCCACTGTATGACTTTAATCCCCGTTTGGGCTTTGATGATACAAGCGAAATCCGACAGCAATACATTATTATCTATTCCATTAGGAGAATAAAGGCTAGTTTGAAACCCAAACGCAAAAGGATTAAATACTATCTCTGACTGCTACTGAACCCAAAATGATATGAAAGTTTTCTGTAGGTATAAAATAAAGAGGTTTATCTATAAAATATTTCATTAGTCTTTAAAGCCTTAGATATCATTACGAGTTGGATTGTACTTTTTAGTTTAATTATTGTTAAGCTATTTTGTGATAAATACTTAGGACTGAAGATTCTGAAGCAGTAACGTAGTACCAAATCCGGTATCTAGCAAGAAACTGTATTCAATTTATGTAAGGTCATAAAAAATAACTCAGTTTTCTTTCATCTAAGACTTTTCATTTTATAAAAAGGAGTTAATGTTCCTAAAAATAATAAAAATAAATTGAAATAAAGCAATAATAAAAAATAAGAAACGTTAAAAGGCTCGTCTAATAAATCTGTCGGAATTTATGAATAGAAGCAGTTATTAAACGGGGAATATAAAGCGAACGGTGGTTTTACATAAAACGATATTAACTCTTTTTCCTGCCGCAATAAAACTTCCCCGTGAGATGCACTGGTGCGCATTTGCATCACCCAATTATGGGAGGGGATATTACGTGACATTACGAACGTATCTATTTCCACTCGAGGTGCAGACGAGATATTTTGCCATTTTATGACGTGACGGCGGCTCTGGGCTTTATTATACAAAGACCGATATCCCTGTACCTCTCCATATAAAGTTAGCAAATAAAATTGCATCTTACTGGGTGGAAATAAGGTTGCTGGGGGAAAACCCAGCTGTAGCGCATTTGCCGGTCGTCGCGTGTTCCCGAGTGCTCCTGATTTGTTAGTGCAGAGCTGATAACGCGATTTTGATGAGCTCCGGGTTACTCTGGCCTGAGATTTATATCGTTTTTACGGTTCAAAAAGGAAAACATTAAAAAGAAAAACTGAAATCTATGTTGGTAGGTACGTAGATTACGGTGAGAGATTTTCTTTTTCAGCATCTTCTCTAAGTACTTGGTCCTTGTTGTATAGCACTTGGTAAATAAAATGTTCTTAATAATTTAGCGGGAAATTAGGATAATAATGATAGATAAAAAAATTATAGGGAATTAACAAGGATAATTTTCATTTTTAACGGTGCTATCAAACTACGAAAGAATGCCTGAAAACTGTATCTACTTAACTTACCCAATTCCTACTTATCAACTCGAATTCAAATAAGCTTAATGAAGAACAAACACTTAAAACAGGACCTCCTTTGCTTGCACAAACTTCACAGCTTCCTATCACAATCACTGTAATAGCGCTTAGCTCAGGATGTAACTAAGTAGGATGATGTGACGTACCTCGCGGCAATCCTCGGTGGAAGGATGTCCGACAAACAATATCTAAGTTTGTGTCGCTTTGTCGTAATATTTGTCAAGGCTCCAAAAGCCCGACGGAGTTGCGACTTCTCCGGCTTATTACTATTTGTGCTGCCAAGATGAGTCTGCTCCCGTCAGGATAGCTGCAAAACTATAGCTCTTAAAAGTATGTTAGAGCGAAGCTACTTTCTCCTAGACAGAGTTCTTGGGCTTAAATGGTTTGGCAGCGGATTCAAAACGCGTGTTGTTGCTTCAGTCAGTCGAGTTAATTATTGCATTTAGCTAATACACAATGAGCGGTCCTGCGCCGCCCGCATCCAGGGCTCTTCTCGCGACCTTTACCAGATCGTCGGTCCACCTAGTAGGAGGCCTGCCCACGTTACGTCTTCCAGCCCGTGGTCGCCACTCGTGAACTTTTCTGCCTTTGTTTGTTAGTTTTTTTCTTTGATTTCAGCAATTCTGCGAGCTATGTCGGTCACTTTGGTTCTCCTGCGGATCTCCTATAAGTACTTTAATTAACTACTTATTCAGCAATTAATTATGTAATCTGTGGTATTTAAAAGCAATGTTAGTGTGTAAATCTGATATTGAAACTGGTGGAAAAATGTATCCATATGAAAAATTCGCTTTTTCGTGTATCGGCACGAGCTGTGTCTCGAAATGAGCGGCATGTGTTTACGTCAATGTAAGTAAGAATAATGGGCACACATAAATCAGTGGCATCTTCACGTCGTTTTGAATACTCACAAAAGATGTCACCTCTTCGGAGTGAACGCAATTCAGTGAGAGGAGTAACCCCATTCGTTACGTCTTATTTATGTGCGCCCACAAGTTTCTAAACAAAGGAAAAGGGAGCTATAGCCGTACCTCCAGGCTTTGCTCGGTTTGCGATACTTTTCGTACACAATATTGCAGTACCTAGTTACTTTTATCAGGATTTTGGTTCTCAGGGTAGGAAGGAACTTAGTAGGTACTCGTATTTTAACTACATTAAACTACATACTTACTTAGTTTACAAAATGAAAATTCATTTTAAGTAAATTGTAAAATTACTGAAAGTTAAGATTTTATTCAAGTTATTTTTATTATTCTACAGGAAATTCCGCCGCCACAGTTCTTTGTACTTGCCCATAAAAGAAAAAGAGCTGAAACGAACAACGAAACGCATTCTGTTGCAAGCAGTTAGCAGTCGACAAGTAAACAACTCAGTCTTGGGCACAGACATGTCTTGGGTCTTGAGCCCTCTCCGTTGAATAGGTAAGTGATTTTGTACGTTTACTTATTTAGATTTATTGTTTTTTACATCACCTCTGTTCTTATCTAAATGTAGAGTTTCTTTTCTCTATGACTTGACTCAATAGCCTCAGGTGGTGTTAAAAAACAATACGAAATAACAAACTTTTTGCATAGTTTAAACCCATATCGTGTACAATCCTGGCAATCGATCAATATTGGCCGATTAGTTGTCGTTGCGACACTAAAAATCCGGGCACATTTCATACCGACCGCCGACTCGGCGACATCGCCAAACCACTGCGGTCTGCGTGTCGGTCGTTCGTTAACACGGGCACTCGCTCATGTTTGGTTTCAATAATGCACACACATTGTGGTCTTCGAAAAAACGCCTGTGTTAAATCTATAGGGGTTTAATTTTGCGACACGATAAAATAGTGATTGAGCAAAAGTTTGCTTGGTCGATAATTTTAACTAACTTTTGAATGTTAGTCGGTAGTTGTCCTAGCCATCTACTGGTATTCAAAACTCGATGTGTATTTATGTAGTTGTAGGTATTGCTAATTGCTTATTTTGGTTTTTTACGCCCAAAAATATAGGTTTCATAGTTAACTTTTTTGAATTTACATAAACTAAATTCCCCCAGTGGAAACGGAAAGATTATTTTATTGAAACATTTAACAAACATATTTTGAGGCAATACCTAGTTCAGTTGAAAAGTTATGATGAAGCCGAGTAGCGACGTCATTGCGCGGAAAGCGACCCGGCGCAGTTGCCGGCCAACTTTATTCGATCGCTGTTTGGATTTTATAATACGTCAACGTAGTACCTAGGTACACCACAGTCGTAG